TCATGCTACAGAGGCCTTAGCAGCACGCTACGGTTGATGACTGGAAAGAGGAAGAATGAAAGCAAAAGAGCCAGAATCCATCCAGTGAGAGATCTGTCTTTCATTATTGGGGGTGATCATTTTTAGAAAACTAAGTGAATCATTTGAAGTTCAGTCTCACAAACAAACTCAGTATTGGAGCTGGATACCAACCAGGTTTATGAAAAAGCAAAGCAGAACCAGGAGTGTAGGCACACACTTGTAATCCCAGCACTTGGGAGGTGAGAACAGGATCAGGGGTTCTAGGCCATCTTCAGCTGCCCAGAGAATTTGAGGTCAGCCTAGTCTACATGAGACCCTGTCTCAATCAACCAACCAACCATCAAACAAACAGACAAACAAAACCCAGGAATGTACAGTCAGTCCATGAAAAACACTGCTTTATATGGTTCACAAGTGGGTCCAGAAATCATCATAAAAGGTATAAAATGTACTGTGCAACTGCCATGCTTTCTGATGGATCTGGAGTCCCAGAACTGATCATTCATAGGAAAGCACTGTGTTGACAACTAGGTTCTGTAACTACATTTAAAAGCAGCTTCTCTACCTTGATCCTGTTTCCTGCCCTAGGTCCTGTGCAGGATAGCTTCAGTTGTTAACATGATATACTTGGATAGAGGGAACCTCAGTTGGGGAATTTCCTCCATTGGATTGGCCTGTGGCCATGTCTGTGGGGCATTCTCTCAACTGTTTAGTGATGTGGGAGGGCCCAGCCCACTGAGGGCAGTACCACCCCTGGACAGGTGGTCCTAGGTTGTATAAGAAAGCAGGCTGAGCACAAGCTGAAGGGAGCAAGCCAGTAAGCAATGTTCCTCCATGGTCTTTGCTCCAGGTTCCTGCCCTAAGTTCCTGCCTTGGCTTCCCTTGATGATGGATTGTGCTGGAAGCCAAAGAAACTCTTTCCTCCCCAAGTTGGTTTTGGTCAGTGTTTTATCATAGCAATAGAAGCTAACTATAACAGGTTCTGTGTTTGCTTCCATCCTCAACCAGATGTTTGAGATGAAATAGGATGTGAACCTGCACTGTGATTCTTCTGTTTCAGTTTGAAGACTGCAGGTTAACAGCTTCATCACTGGCACATATTCCACATTTCTGCCACTCCCCTCTTCTCTTTCCACTTCCCCTCATTTCAGTTTACATTCATATTATTTGCACATACTTGTCTTCCTCCAGTAGACAGTTAACACTTCTCAGAGCAAAAATAATGTCAAATATCTTTGTATCGCAACACTTCCACAACACCTCAAAAGAATAATGCCCCAGTGAACATCTAATGAATGTTGGCTTAGAGAGAAAAATGTGTTATTACTTAATAATCATACTGTGCTTAGCAGAATTCAGAAAGCATGATGCCTTGGAATCTAAGCAAGGGCATTTAGGTACAGTAGTACCTGAACAATCTGGCCCAGGCAGGCCCAAGATCAGCATTACATAGAGGCTCAGCATTTGGAGGTCTAAGTGCAGCAGCATAAACCTAGCTCACTCCCAAGTACTGTTGAAATGCTTTGTGTTAATAACAGTAAGCCACCATGTAAAGTATGTACATTCCAATTCCAATTCCATGGATCAGTACTCACTACTTCAGGAACTGACTTAGTCTACTAGCTAACTGAATTCCTGTCACAGCCCACCAGGTAACTCTGAGCCATGCTCTAGGAGTACAGATGGAGGACAGATGAATGGAGTACATTCATTCCTGAGTGCCTAGTGATGGTTACTCAACAGTATGCATTCCTGGAAGGATGGCACTCATCACTGACCTAGGGTGATCCTCACCAGAAGTGCTCAGCTTAATGAATTTAGATGGCAAGTTTATTAGTAATGACAGAACAAAGATACTAAACATACAAACGAGATTTGCACACAAGTTTAGACATGGTTGGCTGATTAGGCCATGGAATGGCAAGAAAACCAAATTTGATTACTTATCTTAATAGTCACCATAAAAGATAACCTGTATGTTGTTATGTTTTAGAAATAGAAGTCCCAGTAAAAGTTGCAAACGATACTAGTTGTATACTAGAAGCAATAGTGGTCGGTAAGAAATAAGTAGTAAACAAGGAAAAACTGAAACTATTTATCCAGGCTACAGTGCAGTGAAAAGGTTTGTGCTTCGTGTTGCACTTTTTAAAATTTGGTTTTGTTTTTTAAGACGATCTCATATAGTCCAGGCTCATGCCAAGCTTCCTACATAGCCAAGGACAACCTTGAACTTCTGACCCTCTTTCCTCCTCCAAGTTCTGGATTACAGTAACGTGTCATCACACTAGCTTTACGTCATGCTAGGAATGAGCCTCAGGCTTCACGTGTGCTAAGCAAGCACTCTTCCAACTGAGCTACACGCACAGGCACCTTCCTCCCCACCCCCACCATTTTGCTTTTTGTTTTTTTTTTTTTCAGACAGGGTCTCATGTAGCCCAGACTGGCCTTATATTTCATACTTGCAATATAGCTGAAACTGGCCCCTCTTTATTCTCCTACTTCTACTCCAAGACTTGATCGACGATGTTTGGCAGCAGGGGCAGTGAGAATGGCAGAAACAGAGAAGATACACATTTCAAGGTCTCTATAGAACTGTGCTGCCAGTAAAGTAGTCACATGTGGCGATCTGAATTTAAATAAACTAAAACTAATAAATCACATTCTCAGTTGTATCAGTTTTATTTCAAGTGCTCTATAGTTGTATGTGGCTAATGGCTATCACACTGGACAGTGCAGAAATGGAACTGTCTTGCTATTTTTCTATTAAACAGAATTGGACTAGAAAGTGAACATACCTATTGCTCAGATAGGCCTGATGACAAATTCAGACACAAAGCCATAGTTTTATTCATGAAGCATAATTAGATACATAGAATTATTTGCTTATTTGACTGTGTTGTAAATTACAGACATATGGAGATACACAGAAACTCTGGATATCCTCATTAGCAGGAAACCCTCCCTACCACCACATCACTCTCCACCATTCCCCACCCTCCCCATCAGTCCCTACCCCCATCCCACCCCCATCACTCCCCATTACCTTTTTATTTCTTTTTCTTTTTTCTTTTGTTTCTTTCTTTTTTTTTTTTTTGGTTTGGGCAAAGGTAGAAAGGGGCAAATGGCACAGGTTCAGAAAATTTAATTTAAGCCTTTTTTTGCATTTTTCTTTTTTTTTTTTTTTGGCTTGGGCAGAGATAGAAAGGGACAAATGGCACAGGTTCAGAAACTTAGATTCAAGCCTTTTTGTGCATAAACTGCCAAAAACAAATGAATTTTAAGAAGTTCCCACTTTCCTTCCTTTTCCTTTTCTTTTAAATAAAATACCAAAAGGCAGCTCTTACTTGGAAAGGAAATGAAAGCAGAAAGAACAAAACAAACAAAAAGGAGACAGGAAGAGAAATTCAAGAAAATTACTAAGAACAAAATGGATAGCTATCCTAAATAACTATTCCAGGACACTCAAGGAAAGAGTCACAAATCAAGAATGTTTTGACAAATACACCATGGGAACACTTCGGTAAAAGTTCAATACATTAACTTTAAATGTTATAAACTCCTCAGAGGCAGAATGATTTGCTGCTGACAATTAAAAGTACCAAGTTCTCATTAAGGGCAGCATAAAGTCTGGCTCAACTGTGTAACCCATGAGCAAATACAAGAAGCACCCGAGTAACCTTCTGTTCACAGCATCATTGGATTTCTTAGGTCACTTGGTCCTCAGGTCAAAGTTATAACAATAAATAAAAATCAACTATAGCAGTAAGAATCTATTTATTAGAACCTCTATGTTTTTAAAAACTGAAGCAAAAGTGTATTTTGGGATTTAAAGTAGAGCAATTATGTTTAACAAAAGCAAACCATGATTCATTCAATAACCAGGAACAAGAAAATAGCAGTCTTTACTGGATTCTATTTACACACTCATTCTACCATTGCTTAAATATTTGCTGCTGCCTGGCCATGCTAGCACTCTGAGCCACATTACGGAAAATTTGATGTCAGTGATACAATAATTTGAATGTGAGCTAAAATTTAATCAGCTCATAAAAGCAACAAAACTGGTATCTACTCTACTAGAGAGAACAGCTCATATATTTTAAGGAAGAGGGTTGCAAGAATCAGGATGTTGTAAAACTTAAGTGTAAGCCTGAAAGCATGAGTTACCATCTCCTACTGCTAATGACAGCCCTGGGCGGGTGGCTACCAGACAATGCTCCAGACGACACAGTACAAGGGACTCAGTAAGCCTGGCCAGCTTTCACAGCAGGAAAGAACACAAGACTCGGTCCTCTGCTTTCTGTGCCCCATGTTTCAACTGCTAATGCAAGTGTTCAGCAGCAGAGTCATCAGAGCTGAGATGCCGTGGTGCTCCCCCTGCTCCCCAGCTTTGCCCTCTGCAGCCTTCAAGGCTCACCTTTCCTTTCTTCTCTCTCAGCATTTCAGGAAAAAAACCCAAACAAACAAACAAACAACAAAAAACCCACAGCAGCAGCATCCTCGTGGAAAGGGAACATTCTTATATCACCTTATCTAATCCATCCTTTTTGCAGAGAAAGTCACTTCATTAAAGTAAACAGAAATGATCTGATGATGCACTTTGAGGAAGGCTAGGGTAAGTTCCTGTAAACCCTTGAAAGACAAATTTCTTCTACTTGATGAGGACAGAGTCACTGGTCCCTGCTTAAGTAAGTGAAAATTAAAAACTTCTAGACCAAAAAACAAAACAAAACAAAAAACCAAAAAACAGTTGGGGGTCTAAAAGGTAGCTGATCTGAAATCTACCAAACTTGCAAAAATTATTCCCAATTCATGCATACACTGCCCTATGGAACATGTAAACACCCTTGGCAAGCTGTTCTAGGTCAGCAGCACTCCACAGAGCAGGCACAGTGAATACAGTTTGGAACACATACTGTAAACAGTGTGGGAAGCAGGGCTGGATCTGGTTCTGACCAAAGGGTAGGGCTAATGCATACCTTTCGGTCTTCTGGAATTTCCATTCTTTTGCTGCTCATCTTCCTCATTAATGGTGAATAAACCAAGGGGAATTGGCCTTGCATGGGTCTTCTTCAGTCTCTCTTGTCGGATAGCTGTAGCTGATCCAGGCATACTGCTGCTACTTGTTTAATAATTATATTAAAAATATATGCTTATGTAATTGCAGCTCCTAGGAAGCTGCTAGCTCCTAAGCTGCCGGTTCATTTGAGCACTTGTAATAGATCCTCTATGGGTAAACAGCGTGCAAACAGCTGACAGATAATACCAGCTACTTGGCAACTGAGGCCCTGCAGCTCCCCCTCACCTAGCAGCAGCCCCCTCTCACTTACTCCCCCCCATAGGCACATGTGCTGGTGAGTAAACATTCAAACATGCACATGTGTGCGTGCATGCACATACACACACACACATTCACATTCATTCTGTCTCTCTGTCTCTGTCTCTCTCTGTCTCTGTCTCTTTCCTCTCTCTCTCTTCTCTTTCTCTTCCAGAAGGGCTCCATTAAGGCATGCAGGTTCAGATACCTCCCCCCGCTGCCTAACCTGTTCAATCAGATCCCGGCTTCTCCTTCCTGCTGCAGCACTTTTCCAGTCTTCTAACTGCTACTGCACAGTGAAACATTCGGCACACAGCAGAAGGGAAAGGATGACACGCTACCTACAGTGAACAGTTGCCCTGACAACCCTGACATATCCTAATCAAGGAGGGCTGGGAGCGGCTGCATCTCCTGCTGCCCTCAGGATGCAGTGTCCTCAGGAACTCACCAGCAGAGGGTTAGTTGCAGTGGGAGGCTGCTGGGCAGCTCCCTCTTCCTCTCAGTGGCAGAGCAGAGCAGCAGAATGGGAGGAGGAGAAACAGAGGTTTGTCTGCCCAAGCAACAGCTGATGCTTCAGTAAGGAAAGAGTGGCTCAAGGCAGATGGACTTTTCCTTCTTTCTCTGGCCTGGTGGTCTATCAAAACAAGGTTTGCAAGTCCCCGCAAGAGCAGGACAAGGCTGGCTCACTCTCCTGACATTCTTAACACTCTGTAGGCTCAGCCTTGGTGGCACCTGTCACAAGGTCCATCAGTGCCACATCTCTGAGGGCAGACCGTACCTCTACAATGTAGAGAAGTCTCTCTACAAATCAAGTTGGAAGGACAGAAACAAAGCCACCAACGAGGGCATCCCAGTTGCCTCCATCTCACTCCATCCCAGCACTCCCTTCCCTAATGTCCCAACATCGGTGCTGAGCAATTCCAACACTTGACCCAATTTCAGTTCTCTTTCGGACTACTTTCTCAAAAGCACACAGTCATGTGACTGCTTTCTTCTGAAATAAGCTTTTTTGCTTTAAGACACTCCAGTTTTAAGCTGTTTAAAATGTCTGCTGTGTACAAAAAAAAGTAATAATTAATTTTTACAACAAATGACATTTAAAAATTGCCAACTGCCAAATTAAGAAAAAGAACGTTTTTTTCTTTTGCCTTTTAAAATCCAAATCAAATCAGTCTAGGAAGTCAAAAGCAATCCTCCCACCCCAGAGCTACTTTCCTTTCCCTCAATACTTAAAAACTCAGATTTTCAAGGATTCTCAGGCCAATCCTTTGTGTGAAACAGAAACTTTGGGTAATTTACTTTACTCTTCTTACTGTCCCAGTTTTCTCTGGACAGTTGGGGTAATGACTCCATTTAATTATGGGGTTAGGAGATGAAGACTTCAGTGTAGAACTAGCAAAAAGAAGTGCTTAATAAATATTAACTATAACTATATTTCATAACACCCCTACTGTAACTAGTATGGTTTTTGATTTGTCATTATTTTCAAGGTGTTTTCAATTCAACTATGAAGTCTTTCAACATATACAATGTTTACTTCACGTGCATTGCCCAGCCTAATGCTGGGTATGTATTAAATGACTAGCAAATCCATGTTGAAAAAAAAGTCCTCAGAAATGTTTCCCTCCAAAGGCTGGGGGATTTAATTGAGTTAATGCATGCTTAGATAGGTGGCTTGAAGAAATACAAAAAAAAAACCATGTTAATCCACGTGTGTGTGCGCGTGCGCTGAAGTGTGCACATATGTGAAAGTCACAGGGCAACTTTTGATTTATTTTAGTTTTGCCTGTATGGATGTAAGCGCGCCACATACATGCAATGACCACAGAGGCCAGAATGGGTGTCAGATCCAGGGGAACTGTTGCAGACAGTTGACAGACACCATGTGGATGCTGGGAACCAAACCCAGGTCCTCTGGAAGAGCAGTCAGTGCTCTTAGCCTTTGAATCATCACCTCAGCCCTCCTGTATGATACATCTTTTTTAAAAAAAAGTAGAACATAGGTTCATTACATTCAAGGTCAGTCTACAAGGCCTCAAACGCTTCAAAGGGATAAAGATTAACAGCAAAGCAAAAGCCACCTAGAGTTTAATTTGTCCACATAAGACAAATTCTTCCACCAAGAAGTTCTGTGTGCTGGAGGTAAGGCATTCAGGGAAATGAAGGTATCAGCAAGGCTGCAGAACACAGGATCCCATAGAAGACCAGAGTCCTTCCCTATCATGCCCAGGTGACTAGTGGTTTCCTTTTCTACCCACTTTAGTGGGATACCTTCCAATGACAAAGATAAAAATTTCACTTTCTAGCCTGAAGGCTCTCAAGGAGAAATTTGATTTGTATTAATGTGTGAAAATCACTCAAATGAATGATTTTTGTTTCCTTTTTAGGACTATAAGCTATTCTTAAAAAAAAAAAAAAAAACTTTACTGGAAGAAATGAGAGCCAGACAAGGGGGTCAAAAATCACCTCCCAACAAACCATAAATCCAAGTCAAAGGACAGAACAAGAATCCACCAACTGAGAACATGTTCAGCTTTATCACAGCAAGATGCTGGGCTAGGTGCACTGGAAATGTTACTTTGCTTAGTCACCACAGCCCTAAGAGGAGTTATCATCACCTGACTGACAGGAAACAAGCACAGAAAGGTCAAAGTCAGCAAGTTAGGCCACTGAATCAGGACTAAACTCAGGCCACCTGCTCTAAAAGTCAAGCTGTCCCAGGGCCTTATGAATCTTGATTCTGATACTAACTAGCTCTGTCACTGGTCACAGCTGAGACCCAGTGACAGGGAAGCAAACATCCTAACACCAAATAATGATATTAATGAGTTTTATTCCCTTCCTATGAAGTACATGTTTTTTTTCTCTCCATTTTTCTACTTTGTCCACTGAGTTATCCCCCAGCCTGAGATCCAGTCTAATCTTTAGACACCCAGTATTCCAGGAATAATTAGGCTTGATTCCTCTTCATTTAATACATATATGCATTTAAGATCAGGGTTGTTGTGTGTATATGTGTGGGGGAGGGAGATAGATGCATATGTGCACAAGTATGTGTGGGTGTGCTGACCCATGTGAGTACATTCAAGGCCAGAAACTGACATCAAGATGTCTATCTCAATCACTTTCCACTTTACATTTACTTCCCCCCCTCCTCTCTGAACCTGGAACTCACCATTTCAGTTTGACTCACTGGCCAATGAACCCCTGGGGTCTGCCTGTCTCTATACCCTCAGCACTGGGGTTACAGACATGGGCTGCTGTGTCCAGCTTTTTATGTGGATGCTAGGGGTCTGCACTCAGGTCCTCATGTCTGCACAGCAAGCACTTTGTCCACTGAATCATCTCTACAGCCTGAGATCAGCTTCTTAAATGTTCTAACTCAATCTTTAATGGATATAGACGTTTGCTCTTACACAGTTCCAGGGCTTGATCCCTTAGGGGCACAGGGTGATGACCATCTTCTTCAAACTCCTTTGTCCTTTTACACTTTGACCCTAAACAAAGGCAAATATAAGATAGGAGGATGGCAAGACCTTAAATGTAAATATCCTTCAAAGTAAAATGGGTACCACTCTGTGAATTCCTGAACTCCCCAGCTCTTCCCTCTCATTTATTTATTTGTTTGTTTATTATTTAGAGACAGGATCTTGCTACAGAGCTCTGGCTGACCTCCAGCTTAGTGTGTAGCACAAGTTGGCCTCAAATTCTCAATCCTCCTGCACCCAGCCACCTATGTAATATGTGATAGGATCACAGGAATGTGTCACCACACTCTGCTGCACTAAAAACTCAATCAGATGTGACGTAACTGTCCTTGTATGTCATTTGCAGACTGAGTCCCTGTGGGAAAAAGGGCATGTAGATCTCTGTAGGGAATAAGACTTTCCCATTGTTTTGTTGAGATCGTTAAAATAGTAAATGATGTGTTAATGAAGACTGTATAGACTTGAGATAAATGAGATACTACCTAGTGAAAAGGGTAGTTTTGCAACTAGACTGGCATTATACTGAAAAAATTTTCAACTATTGTAAGACATATGTTAAAGAAAGGTTAAAAACAAAAACAAAAACAGCAGAATATGGTGGCACATGCTTATAACCCTGGTACTTGGGAGGCTAGGGTAGGAAGACCAAAATGTTGAAGCCAGCCCGGGCTACACAGTGAGACCCTGTCCTGAATAAAATAAGTAAGAATGGTACTATGAATTTATGTCTCTGTCCTCCTTACCCAGCTGGCTGTGCTAGCACCACTGGCCAAGCTCCAATCCCTGAGGTGGGAGAACAAGGAACAAAGTCAGACTTGCGGATGCTTAGAGGTGAGCTCATGATTTGGACCTGGCTGTAGCTAGCAACGTTATATAAAAGGCTACGCACACGTAAGCAAACACATAGGCACACACAGACTTCTGTTCACATTTATGCTTATGAGGCTTCTATTCTGTACCATAAAATTAGAAAATTGCAGAGCCCATGAATGGACTGAAGAAATCTGCCTAACCAGTGAGAAATACACCTAAAATTTTCCTTTCTAAAAGCCCAGTGAGCTTTACAAAAACAAGCTGCCAGGGGAGAAAGCCTAATTTGGACTATTCAAAGACTGCTGAAAACAGAAATTACTTCTGCTGGGTTGAGTGGTTGTTGTTGGTAACTTACAAGGTATATATATATATATGTTTTTTATTCTTTACTACGGTCCAGAAGTACCAAAATTCATTTCCACATTCCTACATTAAATGAGGTGATTAATTCTTGAAAACTTCTGGGCTTCAGTAATTTTTTAAACTATCTGATGTATCCCCCCAAGGTAAGCGGTAATTTACTTCCAGCAGGAGTTTTGGAAATCTACATTTTATGCAAGTTAAAAACCTCATATGGTTTGAAAGTAGCAAAGCTAGAGCAGATTAACACGGGATCAAGCCACCCCTGAGGAACAAAGGGTCCCAGCTGGTTCTCTGTCATTTTCATTCTTGAAGTCAAAGGGTTCCCTCACAGTTTCCTAGGATGATGCCACTTAATGATGGCTTCTGTGGTGATAAAGGCCCAACTTCTGCCATCTTGCAGCATTATGCATAGCTTCCAAGAGGCACAAAGAACAGTGCACAAAGAGATGCTGACCCTTTGGAAGGAAATAAAAAGGCAAGTTTGCTTTGATCTTCTTTATTTGACTATCTTTTGTTAATAGACATATAAGAAAAACAGTAAGTACTACATTAGTAGTGGCAAAGCCATCAGCCAAGCAGTACCAGGTCCCTGCAGTGTCTTTTATAACCTTTCTATAAATCTTTGCTGCATATTAAGCACTTCACAGTGCCAACAGAGTTCATTTTCCCATGTCTGCTCTACTACAAAGTGTAATCTCTAGGAGTTCATGCATATGGCTGTAAGGCATATACTAAGCTTTCTTTAAACCCTTTCCTAAACTTTAAGCATCAGTAGGTAAGCTGGGAATATGATCAAA